CCCCAAATGATCCCGCGAAGAAGTTGCCCCACCCACCAAAGTTTTCCACCCTAAAGGGGCTGATTTGAGACTTGTTTTCGTGTTTAGTGCCCAGAAATTCTCTTGGGTTTGGATCCAGCGCAGATTCTTAGGGCTTCCAACCAGGAAGATGACGACATGCCCCGCTGGCATGGGACTTCTCTTTGCCTTTTGCCCGGGTGTCCCTGTTTCCGCTTCGTATAGTGGAGGGGGTTTTGTGAAGGGAGAAAAGTTTAAGGGGTGTCCCATGTCCGAGGGGTGGGATGGTTTGTCCTGGCTAAAGGGCCCGGGGGGGGGGGGGGGGTGGCTCCGGAGTAATGAAGCAGGAAGAGTGGGATAAAACCGGGACGGTTCAAGGTGGAAGAGATGGTGGGAAAAGTTAAAATCGTGGGACAAAAGGTGATGAGACGAGACGTGATGTATCTTGCAAGTACCATTTCAAAGATGAGACTTCGAGGTTCACCCGGTGGGACCTCAGGCCTTGCGCTTCGTAAGCGTGACCGAAGGACCAGAAAGGAAGCTTCATGAGATTATCCCATTGCTTGACCCAAGAGAGGGCCTCATATTCACTTTCACACGCCTCCCCCCCCTCACCTCCCTTCTCTTTCAGTCGCCCTGGCCCCTGAACACACCCCAAGGAGGGCAACTTTGTGGCATACCTAAGGTACCTTGGGTTTAGTCGCTGCCCTGTTCCAACCAGACCGTGGCGGACCGTGGTTGATGCAGGGTTGACAGGCAGGGGCGGAGGCGTTTGGCTTTCTGCCCGCCCCGCCATGTGTTTGTTTGGCGTCTGGGAACAGCGTGCACGGTGATGAGGTAATGAAGCAACTCTACGTTAGTCAAGGTGAGTACATAGTACATGTAGGGGGCCTGGCACGGCACATGGCCGGGAATACTGGGGTCTAACATGGAGGAGTGGCTGACTGCCAACAACAGCAGTCACAGCAACAGGGCCATGTGAGCCAGCCCCCCATCACGCTGGGAAGTGGAAGGTAAAATACTTATCTAGAGGTGCTCACGATGGGACGGAATTAATTCCCAGGTACGACACGACACCTTGTCAGGTGCCCTCGAGATCCAATCTTGGTGATGCTGATCGCTCGGAGCAGCGATTGGTGGAGCAGGCCAGTAGAGTAGGTGACTTTGTGCGTGCATGGAGTGATATGTGACGGATGCCAAGTCGTGGGCATAGCATGGCGAAGGCATCGCTTTCTCTCTTTTTTTTTTTCTTTGTTTGTTGCTGCCGGACATTTGCCCCAGCCGAAAACGTTGTCTCTCGTCAGGCTGGTCCGCCGCGGTGCCAGCCGACTGACTCTTAGAGTTGTGATCGATGGAGGGATGGCTGGCTGGCTCGTGGCTCGTGGCTGACTGACGATATCGTCCATCGGCGGTTCACTGATTACGAGACGTGATCACGTTGGTGACCTGGAAGCCCAGCCCAGCAGCATGATAGTCGCAACGGCTGTTGGTCTGACAGTCTGACAGGTGGCCCAGCCTTCCCCAGTCACCGCGACCCGACCGACATGCGACTGCAACGTGCCTCGGCCGGGTGTCGGACATCGGTCCATCGATGCCCTTCTTCACACAAAGAACAGCCAGCAGTCAGTCATCCAGGCTGGCATGCAAGTGCCCGTGCTCTTCCGTGATCAGCCCCTTGATCCATGACTGTGATCGCAGCCTAGCCCTTGTTCCCCATCTCATTCATCCCAACTCGCAGCCAGGCCCCCGGAGAAGAGGGAGTGGAGAGAGGTGGAGGGCACTCTGTCTCGTCCTCCTATCGCATTCAGCGTGAGACCTTCCAGAAGACGGGGAGGTATGGGTCCATGCTCGGGAATCCACCCTCCCATCTCTAATTGCCGCGGCCCCCCGCTCGCGTCAAGGTGCGGCTCTTTACTTAATCAATCTGATTTGGTTTGTGCCATCCCTGGCCGGTCCCAAACCTTCTTCTCCACACCCTTCGCTTGCTCGCTCCTGTAAGGGGTTGAGGGGCCGTCGAGCACCGTCTTGGCTGGGATACCCGTGCTAGCCGTGCCGGCCGCCCACTCTCCCTCCCTGCCCGGTCCCTGGGTAACGCACACTCGCGCCCCCCCCCCCCCCCAAAAATCGAGAGGGACGCCGCCGGATGGGGCACCACTGTGCTGTGCTGACCTAGCATCATCTAACCTGGTCCTGACCTGTGATCTGCTGCGACAGCTCGTAAATCGCCCTCACGCGCAGTAGGCTGCTTCGGCTCGTCGGGAAAGCTAGCTCGGCCGTCTCAGGATTCAATATTCCAGACATTAGAGTTTGATGAGAAGGCGGAATGAATGCGAGAAAGCCACACTTTCGCCCTTCGCTTTCGATCAGCCTCCGACCTCCGACGTCACCCACTCACTACCTTTCCGCTTTCCGCCCCCCTCCCTGCTGGACCGCATGACGCCGGCGTCCAGTTCGAGACGCCGAACACGGGACGAGTTTGTCGCTGGTGTCTATCCGTCTATCCCTCATGTCGGCTCCTTCTTGGCGCTTCCTGGCCGCTCCCCTGACAGGCAACGGCGTGCCACCTCCTGGGTAAATTGACAAGCGCGCTGCCACCGAGGGCGCACGCGCGCGCTGATGCGGTGCGTGGCGGTGCGATCAGACCGGATCGACAGGATCAACTGACAGCCAACGTCTTCGAGCCTTCCAAGGGACTCTTCTGCTCGTGCAGTAGACTTTGGCGTCGCATGAGCCGTGGATGCCTCCTCCTTGGTCAGACGCGGATTGACAACCATCCAACCGCTCTAGGTCAGACAACGGCAGCAGCTGTAGGAACAGGATGCCTGTCTGGTCTCCCTGCTTACTTTTGGATCCTTGGTTCTGGGTTTGCGATAGTGCTGGTGCTGCGGACTACGGACGTCCTCCGAGCCTGGTAACACGTATTCCCGTGGCATTTTCGGCCACAACCTCCGAAAGGTACGAGGAGAGCTGGGCGACTGCGGAATATGTCCATGCCCGCCCACGCATCTGCCCCGCTCTCCAACCAGCCCAAGCCTATCCAAGGGCAGGGCTGCCAGGGTCAGGGGCTGTGACTTGAGTCTGGAGGGGGTTCCTCACTCTCTCCCCAAGACAAACCTAGCTCAGAAGAGCAATGGAGATTTCCACCCTAAGCCGCCCCCCTCTCTTTTCGCGCCGCCCCCCCCTGATTTTCTCACACCCATTTCCACTGGTCCCCGTGGCTTGATGTCAGATTAAAGTTTGCGCTTTCAAGCCGATGCGACGTCGTGGCACGCCACCCTATCGTTGTGCAATCCCTGCCTCCAGACGCTGCTCCTCGATTGCGGGATGCGGGATGCGACGACCATGGCAGAGTGCCTATTGGGTTCAGACGTCTTACCATTCTCATGCACTCTAAGGTGGGTGAGTAGAAGACTGGGCATGTCGGATTGTCAGGTGGACATTAGACTCTGTCCAGTCGCCGTGCCGAGCAAACCACCACCGCCCTGGCCCTGCTGCCCACATCACCACTCATCAAGCCCCACGACATGTCCCGACTCGCCCCACGAACCCCAGAGCGTGTGTTTGCCTTTGGGTGGCGCAAACTGTCCAGCATTCTGGCGCGAGTTTGACGGCGTAGCGGGCTTCCCATCATTTCGGAGGATCGTGCGCTCACCGCTGCTGTCACCCTGCCTGCTACTTACTTCGCGATCAGAGACAACCGTGTCGTTGATGGCCATCACGTTTCGAACGTAGAGCGCGACGTCGTCTTTGGAGCCTGAGTCAATGCCACCAAAGTAAAAGTCCTGCCGCGTCCAGCCCGAGCCGGAACTGCGCCGGCGGTCCCCAGACTGGTGGAAGCCTGCTTTGCCTGTTCGTAAGGTTTCAAGCTTGCAACCCAATGGCTGATTACCATCTTGGCTGACAGCACCAAAGGCCTCAAGGCCTGATGCGAAAATGGCATGGCCCCAGGTTTTGAGGCGTAGACCTTGCTCGAGCTCCGCTTCTATGGTCAGGCTTTTGTCCGACCCGATGCTGAAGCTTGTGTTTGCATAGAGAGGGTATGAATACTCCTTGGCGTACTGTCGTGGACCGGAGGCCTCATCTGCACCCGAAATGGTCATCCTGTTGATTTGATTGGTGCCGAAGGAACTAACATGGCCCAGATTGCTGTACGTCAACTCTTGATGCCACCAGGCTTGGTATGTGCCCTTTTGGGTGCGAACTTCTCCCGTAACCGAGACTGCGCGCCGCACCCGAAGTGAGTAGTCGAGTAATTCGTTGACTCCGTGACCATCCTGCTGTCGTTGGTGCGAGATTAATAGAAGTGGCTCCGGGACATCGACTTTGGGCGCCGCGCCTGTTGTGACGGAGCCCGGCTCGTCTAGCCAGACGAAGATCTTCCCCGTGACAACCCAGTAAGCGTCGATCTTATCTGACAAGGAGGCTGGTGCTGTGTCATCATCAATACCCACTACCCTGATTTGAAAAGTATGTGACTGGCCATCGCACAGGACGGGCAGCCATGCTGAAACGTCAATCTCATGCTCGCGCAAGTCAAACGCCTCGAGCCCAACAATGGGGCGGTGCAAAGCTGGGGACACACCACCCGTAAATACGACGGGAAAAGGCCACTGCACCCCCGCCAACTGATCATCGATGTACAACTGGACTTCTCGAAACGGGCTCAAGCCTGGCATGCTGCTGGCAGTATCGTTGAATGTATCAACGTCGCTTTGGAGCACGTTGCTCCACCAAAACTCCTCTGCCATCTGCCCGTTGGCCGAGAGGGAAAACACAGCACGGCTGGCGTGTTGTGGGAAGTAGATCGTGCTGACAGCCTGCTCAGAGGGCAAAGACCATGCGCTCCCCTTCCCAGACGCACCATTCTTTGCTGATATGGGGATGATCATGTCGGCTGGGGTGCCACCCTGGTGCTGACGGGTTACTTGGCTCTTGAAGAAGGTTGCCGTCAGTGTGCAGTTGAAGGAACCTGTATACGTCTCGTCTATTGGAGAGTCAGCTTCTGGCAGGAGAAGCACGGAGCTGGAGATTTCTTTCTTTTCCCCAGATTCGTCAGAGCACGTACCAACGAGGTTTCCGAGTTCAAATATGATCGTCTGAGGCGACCTCCAGAGGGCGAGAAACTCCGTCATGTCCTTCCAGTACGTCCACACAATACCAGGGGTTGGCTTCGGCTCGGCAGTCGAAGTTCGCCACACTTCAGTGTCATTGAGAAACATCAGGGCCAAACGATCAAACTGCCGTCCCGACGAGCTGACAGTAAAGTTCATAATGACCCTGTCGAATTCGCATGCAGGCGGGGGGGTATAATGGCCTGCGGCTCTTTGTCAGCTTCAGCTCTAGTGTGTCGTCTTGTCTTCCAGCAGAGTGTATTCACTCACCGACGAACGGCTTTCCATAGCTGAAGCCGAAGGAGTGGGACATGAGTTGCACAACGCAGGAGTCCTTCGACCGCACAGCATCGAATCCGGGTTCGTTGTCAGCCTGGTACACTGGCCCCGTCGGGCCCAGCACTGGCTGGGCGACCTGGAAACACTGCAAAGGCTGGGAATTGCCATTCAGGGACTGCGAGGCGTGCGAGATCGGCTTTTGCGAGTCGTTAGACGCCTGGCGTGACAAGGCGAACACCTCCGGGTGTAGACTCAAGCCAGGGACCGCCAGTGCTGCTACGATAATCCAGCCACGCAACAGCAGCATGATGAGTTCGGTATCCAACGTCAGAATTTGGAGGTTTGTATGGGAGAATGCCGATGCTGCACCGAGTGGGTGTCGTGGCACCAAAGGGTTGTGAGTCGTGACACTGGCAAGCGTGGGGAGGTGTACGTCAGCTGAGGCGCACCTGCTGAATCAGTTGGCCCGAAGCAATTTTCGGAGTTAAAAGCCCAATAGCTGCACGTCCTAATCGATGAGTCGTGCGACGGCGGGATTCTCCATATGAACGTAAACAAAGTGTGGACGTTGAATGCTGAATGTCGTATCCAGAATGTTTACTCCATGGCGGTTGGCCATCAAACAGTGGTGGGCCGCAGTGTCAACGTGCAATGGTTGACACAGAAAGATGACGTAAGGTACGTACTTGTAGGCAGGCAGAGGGGCCGGGGGTGGGAGGGGGAGATGAGGTACAAGTACCTAATTCCCAGGCTCTTGGCGGCTGCCCTGAAAAGATTACAGTGGTATCGCGCCAGTCTAGGTACCATTTGGTAAATGCCTAGGTACCCTGTCAACTTGTGTACCCACCTCTGGTCAGTGCATGACGGCAGAATGTTCCGAATCCCCTCCGTCATTGGTCCGGTGTAGCTTCAACATCGGGTCAGAACCTCTCAACCACATCCAGCTACATGAATCGCCAGGAAACCAAAGCAGGAGCATGGCTTGTACGATCTTCTCGTCGCAACCACCTCATGGCCATTTGTTATGTGTCATTGATTAAATTGTGTCTTGTAGCCCAGGCTGGTCATCCCTTCTAAGGGTGAGAAACCTGAATCGTCCTCGAAATAAGCCGTTGAGTGCTGTCATGATGGTCCCAAAAAAAACGAAACCCCCTCGTGCGCCAATAATGAAAAATACAAGGTGTGGCTCCTCGCAATGCTGACGAGTATGCAGAAAAACAGCGGTATACTGGAGGTATCATCCAAAAACACTAAAACGACGCAGAGCCACAATCACCATGCTGGCAGTGCCAGGGTTTTGTACATCGCCTTGTCGGCCGTGGGCGGTTCTGACGAACACATGGTCGAAACGGCGTTCGATGACAATCATCCAGTGACCACGGGGTCGTCGGCAGATGAGACACGGTAGCCTCAGACTCCCGTCATACAAGGAACCCTTAGCCGTTGCTGGGTGTCGACGAGGTTGGAGTGACACAAGACCGGCCAGGAACGAATACGTTGGCCCCGAACGGGAAGCTCTCGCCCCGGGTACACCAACCGCTGTGTCTGTCCAACACTTCGCCCGGGCGCGACCTGTGCCCTTGTGAGCGTGAGCGAGGAGTTGATGCTCCGGTGTTGCAGCGTATGACCGCCAAGAGCCGAGATTGTTTCGACCCGATTGGCCTGAACGGCGAGGTTGGGTTGCAAGTATGAGGGCGCTCGTAACGATGCAGTGGAATGGGCTCATGTTTGCAGGAACAGAGAGCTCTGCTGCTTTCGCCCGACGGAGGAGCGGGGATAGGGAGGGGTGTCGCCAAGCCAAAGTCTGGAGCAGCACCAACATCTGCAGTGCTACTAGGGTAGGTTGATTAGGGTCTGCGTCCATCTGGCGAAGCGCCGTCACGGCATCGGGCCCTTTCCCCCTCCCTTCTTAGTTGGCGGGTGGCCCTGTCATATTGTCCCAATACCGGCTTCTCGCCTCCGTCGCGGTACGGTTATCGACAAACCGATGTTGGAAGTAGTTGAAGACGGCAAACTCGTCTCGGCTCATGATGTAGGAGCTTGGCTGTGCGGTGATTTTGGACCAAGTCTGTTCCAGGGCCTCCTCGAGGATACCGCTGATTGTGGAATCCGAGGCGCCGTCTGGGCTCTCTCGTGCAACCTCGAGAGCTTGCGCCACGGTGGCAGATGAAGTCGTGGCAGTCTTGGACAGTTTTGCCGAGGAAGAGGCACCGAGGCCACTTGCGGTGCTGTTGCCCATGGCCATGGTGTACAACGGCAGGTCGGAGGAGGGGCGGCCTGAGGTGAAGGGTCTGAATGGGAGGCAGCGAGGCTGGTGTTGATAGTCTTGTTGCGGGTTGAGAGACAGCATTGTGTGTCTAAGGAGTGGGATGTGTGTGTATATATATATATAGGTAGGTGGAAGGGAGTGCAGGATGGGACAAATTTCGGGTGGCGGACTTGAAGGACGGTTTTGTAAGACGCCCTGGAGGTATCGGTGCTGGTCACCCGAAGGTAGGTATGGATGAGGGTGGATGAGGGTGCCGGGTTTGGGGGCGACCCAGGGAACAGGCCTCTTACTCCGGGGCACGGTGCTCACAACAGCACGAAAGTAACGACACCTTGGTCTGCGTTGACGTTGCAAAGAAGAGGAGATCAGTTGCACTGTGGTACGGAACGTGAACGACGTGAGAGCAGTGCGCAGCATTTCAAGCTGATCAAGATGTCTGGGACGACAAGGGTCTCTTATAGAAAGACCAGCGTCAACGGCCAGAAGATGGCCAGTTCTCTCCTAGCGTCTTCAGCGGCGAAGGTATCACTTGAATTGGGGAGGGAGGAAAGGGTGGGGGGGGGAGGGGGAAGGGGGTGCGATGAGATAAAAGTATGTTGCAAGTCATTCATGCCAGGATCAGGGTAAGGGAAAGTTAGGTAGGCTGGGGACGGGGAGGGGGGAGGGGGGTGGTCGCGTCGTCTCGTTTTGCGCGCCTGTGGCAGGCAGCTCATGCAAGCGACAGTGGTGAAAGGCGTCGGGTACCGTGACGAGTACCTTCTGGCGGATGTACCTACACTGGACCACCTCCCTGGCCTGACAGCCTAAAAAACGTGGTGGCAGGCGTTAGCTTCTTAGTACCTTGGCCAGGGGGGAGGGCGTGGTTGAAGAGAGAGAGAG